CCCAAATTAATCCCCAGGGTAGGAATTACACTGAGGGTGGCTTTGGTTCACTGAGCACATTAATTAGTTGTTGTGTCTCTCTGAGCTCAGGGATTCCCCTTAGTTTCAGGCATCACGTCCCTTAGATCACAGACCTTAGTATAAAATGTCCTGAATACTCCAATCTGGAAGCTGCTGTCAATGAGGAAACACCACATCTCTCTCCAAAGCAGGTATGTGCTATTGTCCTGCAGCACAGTCACACACACATGCAGACACCATGGTGATCGGCAGGCACTGAACTGAAGACCTCCAGTCCCACTCCTCTTTGGCCAGAAAAAAAATGGGGAATTTCATAGTCACTGAAGCCCGTGCATTATGTCCCTGGGATTTCATATAAATAAATATAAATGACTTATGCATCTGCCAAAGAGCCTAATTAGTGCAGCAAGCAACTTTATCCCAATCGGAGATACTGAACGGCAGATCTCACCTTGCCCAAAGAGGGTAGAAAGATTCACACACATTTACTCTCGCCCTTCTTCTAAGCAATAATCTCATCACACTGAGATGGTTTCACCCTGACTCTCTCTCAGCAGAGTCACAAGTCCCTGTTTGCTGCTCGGATTAGTGAACAGGAGTGATGGTGTGTTGGGCATGACTAATTTGTGTGATATTATATTTGTACAGTGTGCGCATAGTATGGAACAATTTGAATGACCTGCTCTGAACATCTGGATCTGTAGATTAAGTCCTTCCTTGAAATGATCCTGGTGTCCTGAAAGAAACTGGTCTCCAATTTTTTTCATTTACTTTGTTACAGAGAAGGGAACCATCTACCTGCCACATCCCTGTAGCAGCTGGATCTTGGCTCAGAGGAGATGGAAGAGGGAAATCACTCGGTGGTGACTGAGTTCATTCTCTTAGGACTGACAGATGGTCCAGAGCTGCAGGTCCCTCTGTTTGGATTGTTCCTAATGATTTATGTTGTCACCCTGGTGGGGAACGGGGGGATGATCTTTTTAATCACAACTGACCCCCAACTCCACACTCCCATGTACTTTTTCCTCCGGAATTTGTCTCTCTGTGATCTCTGCTATTCCTCGGTAATTGTCCCTAAAATGCTGCTGAATTTCTTACCTGACAGGAAAAGCATTTCTTACACTGCTTGTGCTGTGCAAATGTATTTGTTTGTCTCTTTTGCAGATATTGAGTGTCTGTTGCTGGCTGTGATGGCATATGACCGTTACGTGGCCATCTGTAATCCGCTGCTCTATAAAGTCACCATGTCCAGGCAGCTTTGTAACCAGCTGGTGACTGGGGTGTGTGCTGTGGGGTTGGTAGATGCATTGATACACACATGTTGCACATTCCAGCTGTCATTCTGTCACTCCAACATCATCAACCATTTCTTCTGTGATATCCCTCAGTTGCTGGCTCTCTCTTGTTCCAACACTCACATAAATGAGATTGTGATGTTTGCCTTCATTGGATGTGTTTTAGTGAGCAGCTTTGTTACCATCCTCCTCTCCTACATCTGTATCATCTCCACCATCCTGCAGATCCGCTCCACTGAGGGCCGGCGTAAAGCCTTCTCCACCTGCACTTTCCACTTGATCACAGTGGTCATGTTCCATGGCAGTCAGCTCTTCATGTACCTACGTCCAAGCTCCAGCTACTCCCTGACTACGGACAAAATAGCCTCAGTGTTTTACACGGTGGTGATCCCCATGTTGAACCCCCTCATCTACAGCCTGCGGAACACAGAGGTGAAGAACGCCCTGAGGAGAGTAATCAATAAATTCCTAACCAATTCTTGAACCTCTTTAAATCAGTACTCTATGAGTGGTTGGGAGCACAAACAAGGGAATTCAACTTGCAGCCCGTTGCAATGTAATTTTTCAGAGTCTGTGGTAGTGTTGTTCATTATCATATGATTATTAATAATTTGTTTGTATTCCAACAAGGACTCCAAATCCCAGTTGAAAGAATGTCTTGATTAGGCAAAATTCAAGGAGGTATATGTTTCATATTGGTGAGTCTAAAAATCTATGTCATGTGCTTTGAAAGCACGGAGGTGTTTGTACGCCTCTTCTGTGTAGCTGGGCTGGTTTCACAATGCAGTTGAAAGTCTGAAGTGTGTGATTCCGGTGGCTGAACCAAAGGGGGTTTTGCACACCCTCCTGGTACTGTGTAGCCCTTTCTGTGCTCTGCGGGGTTGTTATAGGGAAGGTTACCTGATTTGTGTCCACAAGGGTGGAAAAACAGGAATGGGATGACTCAGGGGACTGAGTGAATGAGAAATGGATAGAGCCAGCCCACTTACTCATTTTTGAGTTAATGGGTGGTTACAAAAATTGAAACAAATTCAGTTTAATGTGATGCAAATCTGAAAATTCCCCAAGTATTTGGCAAATTGAAAAGACTGACCCAAATTTCCTTTGGGGTCGAAGGAAACATTTAATATGAGCAGCAATGGAACTTTTCCTTGCCTTCCTGGGTACACTCTCATTGAAAAGCAAAGACAATGAAAGGCCACGTTGACAAAATGGATGGGAGATGAAGAGACAGTGATGGCATTTCTTCCCTTGTTTCCTTTTGCCCAATGATTAGCGCTCTCCCTTGGGATGTGGGGGAGACAGTTGGGTCCCCCTCTGTCTGATGGGGAGAAGCAATTTGACAGTGGGTCTCCCACATTGGGGGACACTGCCCTGGTGCCTGGGCAATCATCTCTCCTGGATCTCTCTTGGGACTGGTCTACACTAATGCTGTAAGTTGATCTGAGGCACACTAGTGCAAGTTGACATAACTTAGCCTGCCTTACTGCTGTGTCCACATGACGATAGGTTGAGGGGAAAGTTAAGTAAGTGAAGTGTGGAACCTTTGAATTTCAAGACCCTTTCTGTAGCTTGGTATTAAAGGGCTAAGGGAGTGGACCCTCACCATTCCCAGACTGGGTGATCTTAGCTTCTACAGACAACATTAAAGAACTAATCAGATGCTCCAGTATTTGCTGATGCTCACAGTAAAGGTAAATACACACTTTACTCCTGGGCTCCCATATAATTCCATTCACTAAAAAAATACAGTTGTTTATTTGTGTTACAACTTTATTTTTACTGCCCACATTTCATGATGAAAAATGAAAGATATAGGAATTGCTTAATATAAGAAAATCTATAAGACTCTTCAATACATTATTGCTACTTCACAGTTGAACTATGCAGAGGTAGCGTATTCAAAAACGTTCATTAAATTAGGGTGCCTATGGACACGTATGGAATTACGGATCTTAAATTCCTTGATGCCTCCCTTTGCCCATCTTTGAATGAGAGTAACCAGACTTGCCTGCTTTATAACAGGGTTCATAAATGTGTTTAGGTCCTTATATGGCCCTCATCAATGTAGTACTTCTGAGGTCTTTGCACTCTTGATTGTGTTTATTGTCAGATTGCCCATGTTAAGCAGTGAAATATTGATCTCCATTTCACAGAGGATGAGCTGAGACACAGAGAAAGCTGAGGCACAGTTGAGACAGGAACTAAGACCCAAACTACAGCGTGCTAGACTAAGGTTTTACATAGTAAACATTCCTTCTCATGGCAAGAGGGGAACAGTGAGGGTATGTCTACACTACCCCGCTAGTTCGAACTAGTGGGGGTAATGTAGTCATCCACAGTTGCAAATGAAGCCCGGGATTTGAATTTCCCGGGCTTCGTTTGCAAGAAGCCGGCCAGCGCCATTTTTAAATTGATGTAGCTGAAGTTGTGAAGCTTAATTCGGCTTTAGTCCTGCTGTGTACACGTGTCCTCACAGTCCCTGGGACATATACTTCCCAGAATCCCTGCTCTTGAGAATCTATAATACTTTCCCACAGAACTAAAAGCAAGAACTCATTGGGTAAGTCTACACTACAGTGTTATTTCGAAATATCTGATTTCGAATTAGTTATTTCGAAATATCTTATTTCAAAATAACGTGTCTACACACAAAATGCATTTCAAAATAGCTTTTTGCTATTTTGAAATAGTGTATCCACACTGATTGGATGCTGAATCACATTTAAGGCCAGCCAAAACTGGTTCTGGCAGGGCATCAGGTCAGAAGTTACCTTGTGGCCAGGGCGGCCAGCCGGGCACACAGGGAAGAGCTGGAGGCCCTCTATTTCGAAATAAGCTTCTACACCGCGCTTCTTTTGAAATAGCTGTTTTGAAATTGGTGCTATTCCTCCTGGAATGAGGTTAATCAATTTCGAAATAAGCCCTCTGCTATTTCAAAATAATTTTGAAATAGCAGTTGGCGTGTGTAGATGCTAGGAATCTACTGTTATTTCAAAATAACTTTGCTGTGTAGACATACCCATAGTGAACCTGGGGATGTGGTATAAATATCTCTTTTGTAACGTGACCTTTATCTGTTTAATTTATATTATAAAGAAAACATCCCCTTTCTGTGTTATTTTGTACTCAGTTCAGTGCAGAATATGACAAAAGATGCACATTCCCCTGGTTCCTGTTAGTACTGAGCTCTCCATGGTGCTGCAGTTTCCCTATCTACATGGTGATGCTATTTTGTGATCCCGAAATAGCTATACTGCATCTTAACAGTGCTCCCATTATTTCTAAATACAATGGGCTCACAATTCCAACGTCCCTGTAAACCTTGCTCCACAAGTAGTAAGGGATATTTCAGAATAGCGGGTTATTTCAAAATATGGTGCTGCGTAGACAGCATCAAATTACGAAATAAGCTATTTCAAAATTGACTCAAAATAACCTACGCAATTTGCATAGCTCAAATTGCATATCTTATTTTGTACTATGGGTGCAGTGTAGATGCACCCACACTGAGGGTATGCCTATATTAGCCCCCTAGTTCGAACTAGGGAGGCTAATGTAGATATTCGAAGTTGCAAATGAAGCCTAGGATTTAAATATCCCGGGCTTTATTTGCATCTTCCCGTCCGGTTGCCATTTTTAAATCCCCCTAGTCCGAACTAACTGTCTGCGGCTACATGTGGCAGTCAAATGTTAATTCGAACAAAGTCCTTAGTTCGAATTAACTGTTACACCTCATTCCATGAGGTGTAACAGTTAACTTGAAATAAGGACCTAGTTCAAGTTAAAATTTCGAACTAGGGGGCTAGTATAGACATACCCTGATTTATACCAGCTAAAAATCGGGACCATGTCAATTTATGCCACCTGGGAATTGGCTCATTGATTTCATTTAAATTATCCTGATTTTCCATTGAGTCATGGTTTCTAGTATGACCTTCTGATAACACCTGGCATGGCACCCAAAATAACCAGTTAAGACAGGACCAAATAACGGGGAGGGACAGAAATAACAAATACGATATAGAATCAAAAAAGGCCATGGTAACAAATTGACATAAGATACTAAATTGTGATCAATGATATAATCCATCAAGTTCTCTTGATTATTTAAAATGTCAAACTATGAGAGACACATGGTGAATCTGAAAAAGGCTGCATTGCAGGACAGAATAAGGGACTCGGTCGCTACTCTCTTCCCCCCATAGCTTGTACACCGCTGTTCCTCTATTGTCATGAGAAGGAAAAATGCTCTATGAAGCAGAGCAGTGGTCTAATGCTCTGAAATGTGGGGCTTTGTTCCTAGCTCAACTATAGACCTCTTGTACAGCCTTGAATCAACACATTTATTTCTTTGCGATGGAAGTTATGACAATAAATGGAATAAAGTTTCCACAGTGCTCAGAGATGCTACATTGAGGATGGCCTGTAATAGATCTGAGGCTGAGCTCCATGGCACTTCCTCGTGCCATTCTGGGATTTCACTCTCCAAGAGAGCACCCTTCTCAGAAGGTGCCTTGTCACTGTCACTTCTGCTCTGGACCCATTGCACTATGACCCACATTATTTCCCAGAATGCACCGACCTCTTCTGGACATCGTGCCCCTCTCTCATATCTCTGTCTTCCTGAGGGACCAACAGGTTATAAGCTAACTTGGGAAACTCCAGTGTAATCAGGAACTTGCTAGAAACAATTAAGTGCGTCAGGATAATTAGCACACCTGGATCCAATTAATAATTTGCAAGAAGCACTCAAGGCAGCCTGGTTGAAAAATTGTCTTGAACATTTTGTAATAGGAAATTGGATAATCATTTCCACTATTCTTAAAGAAATTCTCTTTTCTGTGGAAGTTATCAGTTTTCCATCAAATAAAACAAACTCCCCTCTTCCCGAAACTGTGGTTGTGGGACTCTGGTGCTTGAACCATGAGGGATGAAGTCCATCCAGGCAGACTGGCCCATGGAAGGGGCTGGTGGAATGTAGTGCATGAAACACCTCTCTGGTATTTCCAAGCCCAAAGCTTTCAAGCAAAAGCTTTTGACCTCCACAAACCAGCCCTGTGTTGATCAGCTCGACTCAGTAATCAGTGTGGACCGAAAACAGCAGAATGAAAAACAGACCACCCTTGTCCTCTGTAACTCTGACTGAAATCGAGTCATTTAATAACACAGGAGGAAAGGGTTGCCCAAATTAATCCCCAAGGTACGAGTTACACTCAGGGTGCCTTTGGTTCATTGAGCTCACTAATTAGGTGTCACGTCTCTCCGAGTTCAGCTATTCCCGGTTGCTTCAGGGAGCGTGTCCCATAGATCCGAGGTCTCAGTATAAAACTTTCTGAATGTTCCACACTGGCCATTTCTATCAATAGGGAAACAACACAACATTTCTCTCTTCTCAGCAGGTAGGTCCTGTTGTCCCAGCTCATACTCACACGCATACAAAAACCATGGGGAGCTACAGGTATTGCATTCAAGACCTCCAGCACTCAAAGCCTCAGACCTAGCTCTTACCCCTTGTACTAATGGCACAACCTCTTTGGTTACAAAATATTACACAGTGACTGAAGCCAGCACAGTTTCTGGGTATGTCTCTGGG